TATAAAATTTGTATCTACATGCATTTTACATTTAGAGAATGGCAAGATTTCCTTAAAATCCCATACCTCATTATGCGTGCGGTTTGTTGATGAACGGAAAGAATGTAGACTGTACGTCCTCTGTGATCTGTTACTGTGCAGACCCACGGCAACATAGAATCTAAAGTTCAGTATTTCATTCATTTCAAACAGGCCGACTATATCAGGTGGAATATGCTATGGAAGCTGTAGGTCATGCTGGTATATGCCTTGGAATTTTGGCAAATGATGGGATTGTTTTAGCAGCTGAGAGGCGAAACACTAATAAACTTCTTGATGAAGTGTTTTCTTCCGAAAAGATTTACAAGCTTCATGAGTAAGTTCAGGAAAAGAGATTGATGAAAGTGACCAATGCATTTGAAAATAATGTTTTTTTGCAACATGCAAGAAATACAGATAAAATAGGTAGAGTTGCTGTCTGCAGGAAGGCTTTGGTTTTTGGTATGGGAACAAGTGAAATTTATCTGGGTCCAATTAATGTAATTATTAATGGTTTCATGAAGCATATGATCAATAAGCAGAACTTCAAAAGGATAAAGAAGACATTTAATGTTACAGCTCAGTGTCCCTCAACTTAAGCTTCCTCAATTCCATATCAAAACTCTAACAAAGCCATGAGACTTGAGGACAAAGGAAAAAAAATGTGGACATCTGTTTGATCATACCTAGCTACCTGCTGTATATACCTTTTATCCTTCACACCCATTAGTACAGATTGTAACTGTAACAAGTTGCAAAGGGAAATATCAGAAAAAAAAAGCATGTTAGTCACATTGGGGAGATAAAGGTTGAAGTCATAAAAATTGTTTTTCACAGTCTATGTGATAAGAGAAATTTTGATGAATTTTTTGCCATTTCAGTGACTTGGCATGCAGTGTTGCAGGTATAACATCTGATGCTAATGTGCTGACAAATCAACTTAGACTCATAGCTCAGAGGTAAATTTTATTGTATGTAAGTAGTTCAATAGATATTTTCTAAATTTTTTTTCACTCTGATCTTGAGTGTTCAATTGTACAAATTACATTTACATTTGTTCAGAAGGTAGGGGTCATTATGTGTCCTTTGATTTATCATACTTTTTTTTCTTAGATATTTATTACAATACCAAGAACCAATACCATGCGAGCAGGTTGTCAGCTCACTCTGTGATGTAAAACAAGCTTATACACAATTTGGAGGTTAGTTTTAATTGGTATTAAAGGACTTAGTTAATAGTATTGGAGGGTAGGCTCCACAAAGGTTTCAAAGGACATCAAAGGGTAGTATTCTTATCAGCAGCAGGGAGATGACCATGGCAGCTGGCCTACACCATCCTGCAAGCACCTGGCATTACAACACAGACAAACCAGGGTGTGGAACAAGTGCTTACCAAGATTTTAAGGGGCAGGACAGGGAAAGAAATGAAGCCAGCCAAGTACTCAAGCAAATTGAGGAAGTCAATGGCACTGCTCTTGCAAACCTCCAACCTCCAAGTTGTGTTTATAGAACTGTTCCTTTTTTCACAAAACTGGGTTGGAATTTCTTGATATTTACTGTCTAAATAGCTTGTTTGTGACTCTTGTGGGAAAAACTGCTTGAAATTCGCTAAAAAAAGAACATGAAAAGCTGCCTTCAAAGCTGATAGAGTTCATCATGCCTGCTTGAGGAGCCAGTCAGAAAATAGTATTCACTAAAACACTTACCAACTTGTGGACCCTGCCATGTAATTAATTTTTGTCCATGCCTGCAGGTTTGCGACCATTTGGTGTATCCATTTTGTACATGGGCTGGGACAAACACTATGGCTATCAGTTGTATCAGAGTGATCCCAGTGGCAACTACAGTGGGTGGAAGGCAACATGCATAGGAAATAACAGTGTGGTAAGTCATAATTCTTTTCTGTGAGGAATTGTGTATCATTACAAGTTGTTCACTGCCAAGATTTGAAAGTCAAATCTTCTGATTGGTGGCCTTACATTTCTTTGGTAACTACTGTAGACCTATGCTGTATGAATTTGGGGTCAAATGCAAACAATTTCCCTTAGTTAATCATGATCTTAGAATTTCTCACTTCCTGCCTAATTTACAATTTACAAACTGTTCAGAGAACTTATACATACATGTAAATCACTTGGGTGTGTAAGGGTTATTACAGGATGCACTTGTAGGTGAGTGGTATTTCAGAAAGAAGTATAATCTATCATCAGTCTGTAAATTTTCTTTAGCTCTCAAGAAAGGGGTGGCTTTTAAATCAATTAGATTCAAATATTTCAAAAACAACATAAAACAATGCTTTCCTATGATTCTATCAGGCTGCAGTCTCCATGCTGAAACAAGAATACAAGGAAGAGGAAATGACATTAAAAGATGCTCTGAAACTGGCAGTCAAAGTGCTAGACAAGACATTAGATATTACAAAACTTACCCCAGACAAAGGTTAGTGTACAGACTGAACAAAAAAAACTCAAAAACTTACTGTACCTGAAATAGAGTTGAACATGTAAAATGTAACTTCCATCATTTTGTACTGGTTAGATATTTAGTAAGTTTACATTTCAAGTATGTTTTAATGTTAAGTTTGCTAGATCATTTTTTACCACTGCAACTTTCAACTTAAATATACTGCTATAAGTTTTTTTAGAAAGTAAGTCTTGCACTTTTCTGTGTTGATAGCTACAATACCTCACCAATGAGGATTTTTTACTCATTTTAACATCTTCTTGTTTTGTAGTGGAAATGTCCACTTTGACTAGGGAAAATGGCATTACAAGCATCAAGATTCTAAAAGCAGTTGAAGTGGAAGAACTTATCAAGGAACATGAACAAGTGAAAGCAGAAGAAGCAAAGCAAGCTGCTGCCAAGAAATAACTTGAGCTTTAATTTATGAAATCCACACTTCAGAATAAACGTTATTCATTGTAAGCAAATTCTTGTAGACAACTTGAGCTTTAGACAGATCAAGAACATCATACAGATATCAAGGTCAAAACCTTGCCAAAGTAGCAAATCCCAGTTGTGACTTTTTTTCAACCTTTTGACCTTTTGCCACAGAAGGTATATTCAGGTAAATTCAGATATCAAGCCTGATGATGGAAAACATTTAACCCTTAAAATCCTTGTAGTGACCAGCATCTAATTTCTCTCTACAGTGATACTGCTCAAACATTCATTAAAATCATGAGAATAAAGGAAATGATCACCAAGTTAAGAAGCTTTGATTGTTGAACTAATTCTCCTTGTCATTACCAAAGGAAATGTATAGAGAACAGTATGGAGAATTTGGATACTGATGTTAGGGTTTTGAGAGTTAACAGTATAACATTGTAAAGCAAAGAGAAGAAAGAAAAGAAATCATGGTTCAAGATTGCTAACTCATCATACTTTTCTCCTCTTTGGGAAGTGAAAACGATTGTATGAAGGGCCAGAAAATATACTTCTGATTGAGGGCTCTTATTTTCTTTAAGGAATTTTGCTATTTGCTAAAATAGGTACTGTAGAGGAAGACTTGTATAATGTGAGATTGCAACTTTTGAGGATTTCATTACTGAGGTTTATTAGGCTGTAAAAAAGGTTATTTTGCATCTTTACCCAAGTGTGTTACATGTACTTCATCTGAGTATTTGTCATGTTTTAAAAAGTGCACTATTTCAACAGATTAACTCTTCACTATTTTGAAATATCAATAATGCAGCTTCTTTTGTTCACTAAGAGATTTGGGTAAGCCCTGTTTCCATAGTTACTGATTGGTTTTGAGGTGTCGAGAGAAATAAGAAAATAATGCTCATGCAAAACTTTAGGGGAGAAACAGAATGACATTTGAATGAAGGAAAATAATGAATGGTGGACTGTTTAGATTTTGAGTTCTGCTTGTGATGTGTAAGGTTCATTTGTACATAAATGTGTACTTGGTTACCTTTTTATTCATTAAAATGATATTTTTGTTTGTGCATATTTCATCCAAAATGTTCAATAGATAGAAACCATTCTCTGGAAAATACGAGGCAAGGTAGAGAGAGAGGAAGTTATTAACATGCATCCAACTATCATCAGCTTACACCAGAATGTCTATGGGTTGGCCAAATCAGAAGGGGGCTCAGAATGTTTTCCTTGCCCCACACTCACAAAGAGAACATCTCTAAGACTTGTCTTGTTGGATTGGTATGAGGGAGGAACACCCTCTTTTTCTTGTCAAAATTTTCAACCTGAATGGAGTAACCTCTTTACAGTGAAACTGAGGAAACTGTGAACCCTAGAAATATTTATGGGATGTTATGTGTTCCAGGGAGAAGGCCAATCAGGCATGAGAGAACTGAACTGTAAATGGCAATAGGTTCATGGTTTTTTAAGTCTTGCAGCAATCACATATACAGTGGAGTTTGAATCTTTAGCAATGGTCAACATTTTGGAATAATTTGTGGTTCTCCCACAAAGAAGACTTGACTCAATGAATTTTGATTGCTTTTTCTCATTGCTTTATGGGCAACCCCTTTGGCTCTTCTGAAATATTTAAGTAATGTTTTTGCCATTAAGTGAGACACACAATATGGAGAAAATCAGTGTTTCTTACTGGCCATCTAATCAGGATTAGAGTAACTTTGGAGAATAGTTCTTGTACTAGCCCAGGTTTACCAACTTATTATCAGATTTTTCCTAAAAATCCACACAAAATTTGTTCCTTGGACAAATACTTCCAGGTACAACTGAGTGCATTATTCTGCATGATTCACCACATAGTTTGAAATACCTACAGTTTCCAAACATGTACTTTGGGATCAATATTGATTGGCTTTCATCAACATTAAGGAATCAAGAGTGATCTTTTTAGGGATTAAAAGTTTATCACCATAAGCTGTTTTCCATTCATTTCCTACAATACCCACAAGGAGAACTTGTTAAACAGTCAGGTCGATGATCATTTCCTTATTTTCAAGAACTTTATGTTTGATTACCAGGTGATGATGTGAGGTAGGAATAAAATGCCAGTCACTCCTAAGAGGTAATCAAGTTAACCATAATTTTATAAAAAAACAAGGAGATAAACTTTTTCCAAGTTCACTAACTCATTTGAAGTCAGCCAACAAACACATATTTGTGAAGAACTGCATAATCATAATTACCAGCACTTTTATGCTCTTTGTTTAACCCTTTAACCTCTAAGACTGACTAACATCTAATTTCTCCTTACAACATCATCCCTGAATCAAACATTAAGGTTAGGAGAATGAAGGAGATGATAACCAATTAAAGAAGCTCTTGATTGTTGAACAAATTCTCCTTGTCAGAACCCTTGGAAATGTCTGAGGAGTAATATGGAGAATATGCATACTGATGTTAGGGAGTAAATGGTTAAATTCCACTAAATATCCCAGATCTTCAGCTTGGAAGGAAATTATCCTGATTTGGTTGATGAAGTTAATTGAAACCTGATATTTGTTCTGACAAAGGGCTAACATTTGAAACTCTCTTAAGTGGCATATTTGCATGATCAACTCAGTTGATAAAACAATAGCATCTGGTAAAACCCCCACTGATGCAGCACCACAGCTTTTTTAGAAATTTACCCTCTTCATTAATTTATAAAGTTTAGTTTGTTCTCTAAGATCATTTAAGATCCCATATTGTCTGAACAATTGGCTCCTCCTTGATCAACCTCAAAATCAAATAAGTTCATTCCTGATGTAACTGCGATACTTCTCCACTAAACAATTGAAGACCCCTCATTGTGTTGGTACATGTACCTGATCTCTTACTCATGAATATTTTAATACAGAAAATATCCTACATTTGATATCCTACAAAGAAAAGAGCTAATATATCGCCCAAGATATCACAACCTTTTTTTTTGTAAGGTAACAATCAGTCTTCGATTTCTTGCAATTTGTTCCTCTCTTCTAACAATTCTTTCTTCCGAATTTTTAAAACGTTCAACTTCTCTATGATCTCTTTCACCTTCATTTCAAGGTTGACAATGTCACAGCTTAGTTCAACGGCGCTCTGAAAATTCTTTTGACCCGTTTTTAAACAACCAGGAACCAAGATTCCAAACCATTTAAGGGGATCTTGAACACAACCATCAACATTTTCATCTTCTACAGGCAAGTTTTCCTCTTTAGAGATATACAATTCCTGGATACGCGACGTTGCTTCATCGCTCGAAGCACCTGATCTTTGAGGTTTCCTTCTTCTGACTACGTTTTCCTCTTCTTCTTTTTCATTATAACCAGTTTTTGAAGTACCCTTTGCTCTTCTTGGCAGTGCTTTCTCCATTTCGAACGTTACAACAGCGTTTTCGGACTCCTCTTTAGAAATGTCTCCAAATAAACTTACATGATACAGCGCGCAGTCCATTTTATGACTATATTGCAAAGCACCCACGGATTTGTTTCCCATCGAATAACGAGCCTTTGACAGGTTTAGATATCCATCTCTTATTGAAGCATTTAGGTATTCCCTTTTCTCCTGAAGACATTCGAGAGTGTCAAAAAATTCAACGGTGAACCGATCAAGTTCCTCACATATGTCCTCCATCTTGAAAAAAATTATCGAGGGAGACTGAGTACGAGGAGATAGGACACCACAAACTGCACTACATAAAACAATGCATTCCAGTGCATTTCCACTTGTCAGTAACTCTCTTCATTGATCAAACGCCTTTCTGACGGCTTTCGCAATCGTAATGTGACAGACTCTGAACGGTTGAAGAAAGTCGGTCTGAAAGTTAGTGTTAATGATTTTACTGATCATTTCACTACCCGTCAACAGCCGCTGTCTACCTTTCAAGACAATTTAGATTGACACAAACTGAGGCCCACCGAAAGAGAAGATAGAAATCTGCGAAAGTCGATCACTTTGAAATTTTACAGTATCCTTCTGCATACAGCCCTCCTCGTAAAGTTATATGGTTTTTTGATGCATCTTTACACCTTTTTTGATGATGAAACGGTAATGCAATGCCAAAAAAGGTGCTACTGAGCGGCGTGTTTACGTCATATCGATGGACTCAGAACACGTTTGTGGGTCAAAGATGAACATCGGTCCCGTATGGTGGGATTATTTTTCGAACATAAATGAATCTTTTTTGATCCAAGATGGGACGGGACTTTGTCTAGTTAATATAAAGGTTCATATTTTTCGCACACTTGTTTGCCGTCTTTCATCGCCAGTCGATGTTGTGAAAAACGACCGAGTTCCTTTTTGCTTGAAAATTTCTTACTTTTGCTCTATATTTTGGATTGACTACTTTTCGAGGAGAAACAATTTTAAATATTTTACTGTTGTGAAGATTGGAAACAAAATTGTGATATTTATAAGACTAAATATCAGATTCCAGCGCGCGAGCTATCGAAGGTTTCCTCGGTCTTCATGACGAAAAACTCGTAAGAGATGGTTTCCATGGATTTTCGCTCAAAACAAAATCATTTGCTTCAGCTATCAGTGCGGTCAGTATCGAGGTTCGGAGCTTTGGAAATTTGGATCGTTCACAGTCTTATTTGAGAAAAAAAACACTTAACACAAACCAAAAAAATCAAATACTATAAAAACTAAACTGCAAAAACAAAACGAACTCTATTTGAGTTTTCTTCGAGCGGGAGAAAACCGCGGGTGAGACGCGATGGCTTCGTGGCTTCGCCCCGAAAAGAAAGGCAACCAAAAGCATATTCTTCCTCCGCAACTGAAATCAAGAATACCAGTCAGAATGACTCGCCCATGCAGTGAAAATGTCAGAAGTTCATCGTCAAAGGACAAAGCAGATAAAACAGCGCGTCTGCAAAAAGATTTAGACAGCAAAGTTCAAAGCAAGCAATCATCGCGAATTCCGATTGCGGTAAATGGGAGGAAGACCAAAGTTGATTCTAAAGATAATCTACCCATGAATTTCAAAACTACTCGAAGAGGAAAACTTTTTGGAGGAGATTCGGGTATGTTTATTTCCCAGCAGGTAGCCAGCGTCAGTATTTTCACTGAAGTAATATATCGGAAATTGAAGAGATTTTATAAAACGGTTTCAGGCGAACGGCTGGAATCACCATGTTGTCTGTATCATAACATACGCCGTAGGTAAAAAAAACAGCAACTGAGGTAAATTGGCGGAAACCACGTTGTACAGGGCTGAAAATAGGTTATTTCAATGTTCTTCGATTTATAAAATTCGATGTGTAAGACTTGGTTTTAACTTTAAATTCCTATTTAATGTAGAAAAAGATTACTACCATATTAATTGTTTCTCGTTTGTCATCACATTTCTATTCGTTTATTAGTTTATTAGCTCTTTGTTCAGTTTTCCATTTTTATTTTTATGTATTTATCTATTTTTTTATTTACATATTTTAACTTCACCTGAATAAAGGTTATCCTCCAGTTGTTGAGATTTTGATCCAAAATTAAAAAAGCCTCTTTTGGCTGCTAAATTCATCAGCCATCTTGTTTATTTCAAGCCACTTAGTCGATGCTCGTTTGCACAAACTAGAGGCAAATTTCTGCTGTTACAGCTTCATGACATTTGCTAAAGAAACGAAAAGTTTGGACCTATCTTTTCTGAGAGGGAGCTAATTGGTAATCTTGATTTGATCACAGGTATTAAACTACGAGGAACTCATAGTAAACAAGACAAGAAGACGGAAAGTACCACTCCTTCAACCACAGCTAAACAAAGTAGTTATAGGCGCGCTCAGAAAACGACGCCAATTGTCAGGCGACGTGTACCACGACAGCTTACACCAACAGAGACACAGTCGAAACAGGTAAATCTGGGAAGAAAATGTCATTTCAGTAAATACCAGAGGTGAAGTATTTCACAGTGACAACTGTCTCTTTTGGAGGGTCTGGAACTTATTACCATGATCAACCTTTGTTTCACATCTTCGCGAATTAAGAATGTTAGGTTTATAAGGGATATCCAGAAATACAACAGCTGCAACAAAAGCAACGCATTTTGCGCTTAAATAATCAGGTTTGCGAGGATGAGAAAGCATCGCGAGAAGAAAGCTCAGCAAGAGAGAAATCATCTGCAGCCAAGGCGGAAGAGGTCACGCCTGAGGTCGCCACAGCTAAACAAAGCAGTTACAGGCGCTCTCAAAAAACGACTCCAATTGTCAGGCGACGTGTACCACGACAGCTTCCACCAACAGAGACAGAGTCGAAACAGGTAAATCTAGGAGGAAAATATTACTTCAGGAAATACCAGAGGTGAAGTATATCACAGTGACAACTGTCTCTTTGGAGGGTCTGGAACTTAATATCGTGATAAGCCATTGTTTCACATCTTCGCGAACTGAATTAGGAATGTTGGGTTTATGAGGAATATCCAGAAATATAACAACTGCAACATAAACAACGCATTTTGTGCTTAAATAATCAGGTATGCAAGGATGAGAAAGAATCACGAGAAAAAAGCTCAGCTGGGGAGATATCATCTGCACCCAAGGCGGAAGAGGTCACGCCAGATTTTGAATGTAATGTTGCACCTGTGCATGAGGAAAAGTTTCGTATGGGGGCCAAATCAGATTTCAGTGGTAACGAGATTGGCGACGACTTTGTATGTTACTCCAAATCTAGCGACGAGAAAGCAATGCCCGATGTGCCCCAATGGCTAACAGAGGAGTACAAGTTAGTGTTCATATCTGCTCTTTTTTTTTCTTTTACAGTCCGTGAACTTTTGTTTCTGAATTTCATTTCTGAGGCCAGTAGGGTAAAGAATTCACATGATACAACATGTAGCTGTGCACACTTTCTGGTAATCAAAACTTACTCCACTCGGTGAAGCATCACGGTTGTTATGTCTAATGCGTCTCAAAGTTTATTTGTGTACTGGCCGCACTGCAATATACTTGTGAGGTCAATTTGTCACAATTGATTCAATAGAGAACACAGTTTCAGAACCTCCGGAAATTGAAGGAAAAGGATATTTACTATTTAGGTAGAAAAAGCGAATTGGGGATTGTCTGGTTTTATAATTCAAAGTTTCAGTAAACATGGAGGTGACGAGCTTCACGGTAGCAGAGTTTTCAAAGCCTAAAGGTTTTGATAAGTTTTAAATTTCTTAAAAGGGTCATTTTTGAAGTTCCCGAATTTGTGATGAGGCATATAATATAAACTGAGAAGCAATTTGTCTGCAGAGACTTAAGTATAGTTGACCACTATGAATAAATTTTGTGCAGGGAGAGAGAAGAAGAACAGGAAAACATAAAACTCATTAAAGGTGACACCACTGTTACAAGCTCGGCACAAAATATCAGACTGGAAACAGAGTTTGGTACAAAGAACAAGATGGAAGAAAATGTTTTGAGCGAGGAAGAGTTGGACTGTGACTCTTTCACTGAGTCCAGCGGATACCAACGGAAAATGGCTGAGCTAAACAAAAAATTCAGACGGCTCAAGGCACAGTTTGCGAAGGAAAACAGACAGGCTGTCGAATCTACGAACAAAACAATGGAGGAGATCAAACAGAGCCAGGCAAGGGAAGATTGCATCACAAATGAGATTGAGGAGATACGACGGAGACGGGATGAAATAAAAGAAGACTTGAAACGCCTTGATGAGATCGGCCAAAGACGAGATCTCGAAGATAAAAAATGGAGAGAAAAAATGGACATGAAAAACAAGAAACTCACAAATATACTGGAGAAGATAAGAGCCAAACGACGCAAATATCAAGAAGAGACGGGTGCTGAAAATGACTCAACAGAGGGGCATGATCAACAGGATAAGAATTCAAGTGAAAGTCCGGAGAGTGAGAAAAGCAAAGATGTCACCATAGGAAACGAAACCGTTATAAACGAAGACGTTGGTAACGAAGTGTTACGTGAGCCTCACCAGATCATCGAGTACAAAAGTGTAAAAGAGCTGGAAGAGAAGCGGAAAGAACTAAAGCAGTTGAAGAGACTGGAAAAGAAGGCGATCAAAAGAGAGAAGTTAGAACAAAGAGAACGTAAGAAGATCGAAAAACACAAACTTGAGAAACTCTCAGCTAAGAGTTCAAAGGTCTCGGAAGAAACTGCAGGAGTTGCTCAGTGTATAAATCAGGACATGGAGGCTACGAATACAACGGCAAAAGAGAAAAGTGCTGAAACCCCGAAAGTAACTAGAATTAAACCAGACGTCGACACCTCTTCACATATCGCAGAGTCCAAGCAAGTCCAGGCACCTTACTATTCTGGATTAATTACGAATGGTACAAAGAACAAGGTGGAAGAAAATGTTTTGAGCGAGGAAGAGTTGGACTGTAGCTCTTTCACTAAGTCCAGCGGATACCAACAGAAAATGGCTGAGCTGGACGAAAAATCCAGAAGGCTCAAGGCACAGTTTGCGAAGGAAAACAGACAAGCTGTCGAATCTACGAACAAGACAATGGAGGAGATCAAACAGAGCCAAGCAAGGGAAGATTGCATCACAAATGAGATTGAGGAGATACAAAGGAGACGGGATGAAATAAAGGAAAACTTGAAACGCCTTGATGAGAAATTAGGAGAGACGTTTGCTGAGGTTGATAGGCTTATATTGGGAGATACAGACTCTATGGTCGACGAAACAGCGGACAGCCAACAAAGTAACCCAAAATATAGCAAGGAGGAGGTGCCTCGAGAGGATAACTTTGACTGTTTTCCTGATGAAGTTGAGGGAGACATGCACACAGAGGAAAGCAGGTCTCAAGTTTCACAGAGTGCTGAGAATGAGGACAACGAGAAAAATGTCCATGAATGCGATGCCTTACCGAGATATGAGCAATCGGTAGTAGCAGTCGTCAACATAACTGAGTATTTAATCCAAAAAGAGTTGTCCAAGGCTTTGGAAACAATTATCCCTGTCAGTAAAAAAGAGTGTACATCGCGATCGGAAGAAAAGATCTCAGAGGAAGAACCAAAGCTCCACAAACAAAATATGGAAATGGAATTTGGGAAACTTAGGAGGGAAAATACCGAGCTCGAGATGCAGATTTGGGTCATAAACGAGGAACTTGAAACTTACCGAAAAAGGATAGAAACTTTACAGGCTGACCTGGATGGGAGCAAAGTTGAGGTAAAGCAACTTCAGTCTAAGAAAGAGTTCAAAGAAAGAGAGCTGGCAAATTTAAAAAGTGATTTCCAGAGAAAGGAGCAAAAATGGGAAGATGCAAATGAACTCTTGGAAAAGGTTATGGTGGAAAGAGAAGAGTTATGGGATGATGTTGATTACTTGGAAGAAAGCTTGAAAGACAGTCAAGAAAGCAATGAAACTCTGACATTTGAGGTCGATGAGCTGACGATAATGATACAGGAGATGAAGAGAGAGTACAGAGTGGAGCACAGTCGCTGGGGATGTGGACACCTACGTGAGGAAGTAGAGTTACTAAATGGATCTCTAGAGTTGAATGAACAGCGAACAGTTTTATTAGAGAGCCAATTGGACGCGTTTGAGGCAGAAAGAAAACAGTTATGTGGTCATGTTGATTTCTTGGAGGGAAGCCTAAGAAACAGTCAAGAAAGCAATAAAGATCTGACGTTTGAGGTTGATGAGCTGAAGATAATGATGCAGGAATTAAAAAAGGAGAATACGAAGCTCAGTCGCCATGGAAGCAGACATCTACGCGAAGAAGTAGAATTACTAAATGGATCCCTGGAATTAAAAGAACAGAGAGTAACTCTGTTGGAGAGCCAAGTGGACGCGTTTAAAGAAGAAAGCTGTAGCCTTCAAAATGCTGCACAGAACATGAAAAGAGAAATAGAGATTCTTACGAACGAAAATGCCACAAAGGTGACGGAGTTGCATAAGCTAGAATGCGAAACATCAAAGACTATTAGTGATCTTAAAGATGACATTGCAAAGTTACAACAAGAAAAGTCTGCATTGTCATCGGAACTATCAAAGGAATCAGAAAAAGATCACCATTTGTATGAGTTAAGATGTGAAAAATCGAGTGTAACAAAAACACTTGAAGATCATCTAACAAGGTTGAGGAGAGAGAACTGCACTTTGACTGCAAGACTATCAAAGGCTTACGAAAAGGATGACCAGTTGATTGAACTAAGAGAAAAAGTCCAACTTTTACAGAATCAGTTGAAAAATGTAACTGAGGCGGCAACGGCGTCTGTGAACAGCAAAGAGAAGGAAATGGAGGAAGATTACCGCATCATAAAGAAGCAAGATGAAACGATCAAAAATTTAATCGAAGATATCACGCAGGAAAGATTTGACAAGGACCGCCTCGAACAGCAGTCTAGAAGAATAAGAGAGCTTGAGACTCAATTACAAAAAATGGAAGACATGAAAAGAAACACAAATCACTCAGTGGATGCCTTGGTGCTTGAGGTGAAACAGGAAAGGTCAGAAAAAGAGCGTCTGAAAAAAAGGGCCATGCAAGCAAATAAGGTTGGCTCTTGTAGAGAGAAAGAGCTTGAAAAGAGAATTGAACTTCTTGAAGATCAGTTACGTGCAGAAGATGAGCTGACAAACGCCACCCTTATGTCTCTAAACAACAAGGAAAGTTCGTTACAGGAAGCTACTGCCACTATCGATATGCTCACAAAAGAACTGGAACGGGAAAAGTCGGGAAAAAAATCTCTGAGAAAGGCTGTCGAAGTGTCTGAGTGTAACTCTCATAACGACAAAAGATTGACTGAGAACATTGAAACACTTCTGGAGCGATTACAAGAGATGAGTGACCTACGAGAGAAGACTCTTGTATCTCTTAAAGAGAAAAAATGGTCATTGCAGGAAGCTCATGATGAGATCAGTGAGTTAACTCAACAAATAGCACACAAAAAGTCGCACAAAAAGTTTTTCAAGAGGAAGGCTAAGGCTAAAACGGGTAAAGCTTATCGACTGAATCTCATTCAAAAAGGAACAAAAAGATATACACAGGAGAGGGGTTCGTTAATAACAGGCGTGGGAAAACGGCTGAAGAACCTGGTACAAAGACCAAGAGGAGTGTCCGCATCGAGCCTGGTAATGAAAAAGAAGGAAGCCCATGCAGAGCGTATGTTAGACAAATTAAGGGATGATTTGAATGAAAAAGGAGAAGTCATTCAAGACTTAAGGAGTAATTTCAAAGACACTGCTGAGGAATTGTCGTCCATGCGACGTCAGCTCGAAGATATTCAATGCCAAAATGCCGAGCTCATACAGTGTCTTGGACACAAGGAGGAGGATCTTCAAAAGACGCAGAGATACCTAAAAGAAAAGGAAGCCAACCTTGATGTCACAAATGAAACCCTGCGTTTGAAATGCTCGCTTCTCAGAGCCATGGAGGCCAAATTATGTCTGACAAAGAAAGAGATTGAAGAACTGACACAAGTGAACAAAGAGAAAGGCTTAGAGATAACTCGCATTGAGACAACCCTTACAGAAGTGAGAAGAAAGTTGGTTATTGCTGCATCCTTCATGGAGAAGCAAAATGAACAATGTGCTAACCTTAGGACTTGTGCTATGAAGAAGACCCAAGATGCGGATAAGATGCAAGACGAATTGAAACGTTTCTCAACTCAACTTGAAAATAGCAGGAACGAGAACGCAAACCTACACAGAGCATTGTTAGCTGCTACAGAGCGTCTTACAAGGGAGAAGCATAGGCAGTTCAGCAGGACTGAGTTACTGAAAGATGGGCACGAAAGGAAGTCCTCTGAGTCATCACGTGAGGTGAGATATTTCCCTCCCTAAGCGCGAGACGTAAGAGCGATGACAGCGATCTTGAAGCACGAGACGATGTACACGAAGTCTACACCCTAAAATCTCATTGTCAGCTTTCACTTTCTGTTCTTTTTGGAATTAATTGATGTGCTGTAATTTTGACTTGCATATTTTCAAGCGTGTAATTCGTTTATTTCGTATCTTCTACAGGAAAGCATCTCTAACACCCTGAAAGCCAGGAGACAAATGGATGCGTACAAAATAACATTTTTGGAAGACGAGTGGAATGTGGCAGGCAGTAATCAGGGAGACACTGAAAATAAATGGTCAGTAACATATACTTTTTGTTACTAGGATATGTAACAATCATACCATTAGTGCATTTTGGATATGAGATGGTAACTAGCCAACGAAATGCGTAGCGTCGAGTGGAGTATCACCAGTTTGGTATCGAACAAGCGTCTAATGAGATAATTGTTAATTATTCAATTCAATTAAATCTCGAACGTTTGGATATTTGGAACTTTTTTCGGCTCCGTGCAATGTATTTCCATGTAAAATGACTAGGAAAATGAGCTGATAACCGGAGTTGAATAAACCAATCAGAACATTAGAAATGCAACATTCGGGGTTGAAAATTTAATGACATGATATAGCTTTAAGTAAAGCTGCAACCCTCGTCACAACTGTTGCAGAATGAATCTTTTTCGCCGCATTTGAAAGGCTAAGTATTTGAAAGGGGTTAGTGATAAATCAAAACTAGACGAAGATTTTTTGCTAGTGAATGGAAACCCTTTTAGCCTAATATTTTTAAACAAGGTTATTCCTGGAAATAAAAAAAATTCAAAAAGAGCCAAGATCCATTCATTGGGACTTACGCAATATTAAAGGTCACATTTTCACCAGTCATAGCGTATCGTCTTCAGTGGTACTTTTTATACTTTCTTCAAACTTCTCCCTGTCATCTTTCAACGGGTAATTTAGAAATAAAAGTGTCTCTCACTTTTAATTGCAGGTTCAATACTTTTAGATTGGACGAACATCAGTTTGAGACACGGAGAGATCGACATTTTAACTGCGCTGGTACTATCGCTAAGGTTGACCATACTATGCAGAACTTCTCAACACACGGATCACCTAATTCAGTTTCGATGCTTCTGTGCAATGGTTAATGTTTTGAGGGAGAAATACCAATGCAACGAATTGACAAACCGAAGCCAAGCGTGATGACATAAGATTAATTTTTATCATTGAAAATTTTGGATGCAATCGAGATAATCTTTTTTTTTCTTTTGGAGAGAGCGAACGGTATACTTATTAACTTCAAAAAATTATAAGCATTCATGCCTTGACATTAAGTAAAAAGATGTTCATTTTTGTTCTGTGTTAGGGAAGGGGACAGTACATAATAAGAAAAGGAGCAATCTTCTTATTGTAACTGACAGACCCTTATACACAAGCAGGGGATTGGAAGGCAAAGTTTCCCACCTTAATCACTCTGTTTGCGAACATGACAATCTCGACATTGCTGATTGTAACAGTGTGCACTTGCAAAACACGAACCTAGCATGTGCTTGGCTTATCCTGAAGTCTGTGCTGTAGCTCAGTTTTGTAGCATTGGAGCAGAATTTAAAAACGTCCGGTTCTATGGAGGGTCGGGGCTCAGATTCTTCTTTGTCCCATGATCTTACAAAACGAACAGCACTGTTCGAGTTCATGATGTTGAAGCTAAATCGAGAAGTCCTGGGTCAAGTTCCTTCCATCTGCCATCTTGTCAATTTCGGGGCTATGACAAACAGTGACGCATTTGTTCATTGGCGCTGATAATGATAGAAAACTTAACCATGATACTTTGATTTTATTAGAAGTTTTACCAAGTAATAAGTTGGTTGACCCTTGTTGAAGTTGAGTGTGACCTGGGCACTGCTAATTAATATTTACCGATAAACATCCGGTTTCTTGTATTTTTATGTCATTTGGTTTTCCATGGGTGTCACAGGAAAAAAAGGTTCTTTTTGTTCGTGGGAACGGATGACAAAGTTGATAATGTTGCATTTACCAAAATGGAAAGAGCTGTAATATTTGAAACGAAACGCGTTGAAACGATCATCTTCCATTATCTTGGAAATTTAAAGATGAAACTTTACGAGTGTAATTCTTCGTTTCTTTGTAAGGGATAGATTTCCTTGTAAACCCATAATATACTAAAACAAGGCCTCTGCCATGTTAGTGTGCCTCTGCCATGTCAGCATTCTTCGCCTCATGTGGTGGAGGGAGGGGTGGGGGGAGGATTTGGTGGGATCGCACAGTTTTCAAGGGGGAACGGAAGGGAGATCAGTAGTCGCCAACAGATAGTCCAACACCCCCAGCCGAAAAGAAAAACAGAACAAAACAAAAAAGTTCAAATAGTCAAAGGAAAAAAAAACCCTTATAATCAGTTTTAAAGTTACGGATAGCTACTTTCAAAGTGTAAGAAGTGTATTCGTCAGTTTTTTTTTCTGAAAATTAGCCAGCACCCACCCTGGATGGAAAGGACGCTGTGAGATTAACGTATGTTGCCAAAGAACAGAACTCAATGGACTGGTTACAGCTGAACCTAGACCTTTCTTCCTGAACGACGGACTGTTTATTAGCGGTATGAAATGTCCACTCTCATCGGGTGATTATTGAGCTGAACTATTTGCTCGGCCAACAACGGATTTGCAATCGCGTGCACAGGGGAAGATCCTGGATAGTAAGATGAAATCTTAACATCACTCCATACCAGGACAACATTAGCAAATAGTCAAAATGAAAGTCATCTTCAAAAAAATACGGAAAAACCTTTAATGAAAAAAGGAGGGAAGACGAAGGTTATTTCTCGGGAAAGGTGGCTGCAGAGAAAATTGCTTAGTCATATGGCTCGAAGCTTTTACTGCGTCAGTGTTAAAGAAGAGTTTATAAGTATTGCTTTTTGATACGTAACTTACGTAATTTTGTCTCAAAAGGGCAAGCTCGATGAATGGATTTTTTTTTTCTTAAACAAAGCGAAGAGTTGAGAGGGCCG